CAGAGAGTAGGCCGTGCAGGTGGACAGAACAAGTGGCGCACGGGGACCAGAAGGAGAGGCTGGAGCCACACCCACAGGGCACGTGCTCACACTTCACACACACTCACCCACGTGCATGCTGATCAAACACACTGATCACACATGCTCACTCACACCCATCACATTTGCTCACGCTCACCCTCATGCACATGCACACTGATCACACACATGTGCACTGATCACACAGATGCCCACTGATCACACAAGCTCCCAGATGCAACCAGAGACAGCTCGAGGGAGACAGCAGCCCACCCTGGAACAGTCACGCTGGGACAGAAGTGGCCAGAGCGCCTTGGGGATCCGGCCATGAGATGGATGGGAGCTCCTCCCTTTGACTTGCTCCGTGGAGATCTGCCAACCGCTTTGGTTCCCGTTAATTTCCTCCTTCCTCCCAGTGACCCCCTCTAGGGGTTAGTGCTGGGTCATTGCCCTGCCAGGACACACGGCCAGTGCACAGGGGCCAGCTTTGTCCTGTACCACGTGACTCTCTCCTCCAGGTGACAGGATCCAAACCTCTGGGTTGGCAGGAGTTGACAAGGGGTCTGGTCCCTTATGGGACAGTGGTGTGGTGTCTGCCCATCCTTTGGGCCCACCTGTCCACTCTGTCATGCAGCGGACGCATGTCGCCTCTCTGCACTGTCTTGTTCCCTGCCTCGTCGTCCCTGAAGCTTGTGCACACCGGGAAGTACCCAGTGGGGTAGGGAAGCGAGTGCATGAATACTACCCTCTTCCAGCCCTCCAGCGGAAAAGTTCTGAGTTGCTTTTTGCACTCATGGATTGAGCCCTACTGTCCGTGGTGACCACTCATCACACACCCTTGTATTTACCGGCTTCCCCACCTTCTTTCTCTGGGAATCACTTGTCCAATTAAACCAGCTGTCTGCAGGCCCTGGTCTCGGGCTCTGCCTTCAGCTAAGGCCCCAAACAGGGCTCTCCTGGGGCCCAGCACCAGAGAAGCTAATGATCTTCTTTCCTCCCACTTCTCTTTCCCCAGGACACTGGGGTTCTGCTCCGATCTATTGTTTGCTAGATTCGGGAGCCGCCACATTTCCCCAGGGGCCCAAACCACTCCTGTTTATCCAACAACAATTAACACTCTGCAATCATCTGTAGTCTCAAACCATACAAGCAAAGAGGTACCTATCCTTTGTCCTGGGCTAGGGTGGGAGTCAGGACACCCACCCGAGCTGACACAGGAGCTGGGCGTGGTCTTACCAAGTAGGAAGCCGGGCAGGAGAACTCCAAGGCAGCTGACACCCAGGTTCTGTCCCCAGTTTAGGACATGCGTCCTAGGCAAGTCACCCACGCAGCCATTCACGGTCTTGGGTTGCGTGGGTGCGTGCCTGTGTGTACATGTGTTTTAAGATAGATACAAAATGTATAGCTTAGGAACTGAAGACACTTTCTACCCTTTTCTTGAGTGGGGTTATTTTTAACTTCCCTGGACCAGGACATTTCAGCATCAGTGAATGAGGCCCGTGGGTTCCCTCAGGGGCAAGAGGTGCACTTACAAAGTGCCATTTCTTCCTAGGGAAATCATTCATTCAGTGACTATCTGGCTCCAGGTGCCGGAGAAGCTGCGGGAGGCTCTCAGGGCCGGCTGCCCGTCTCCCACTAGTTGTGTTTTCCCTGATGTCTTCCGCATGCAGGACCTTGAGCTGCTTTCCTGCTCTGGAATATTCACTCAGTGGCCTCTGGCTCCTAGGGAGGCCCATGGGGCTTCCCACATCCCCAGGGAAGGGCTGAGCCCATACCCAGAAAGCAGAGTAGGGATGGGAATGTGCTCCGGACGCTCCCCTCCCCCGCGGAGCCTTGTCAGAGGCTTCAGGTCTCTGAGTGCGCCCCTTTCAGAACGAGTCAGATCCTTCCACCCAGTCCTGAAAGGCCCAGTTTCGGGTCATCTCTGATTGCCACCTGGGTGCAGCAGAGGGTCTGTCTTATTGGTTATTTGGTGCCCCCACAGAGACGGCAGGCATCCTGAGGGCAGGGACTGTGTGGCTCCTCTGGCCTGCCCTGATGCCCGGCCCGGCTGTTGATAGGTGTCCACAGCAGAGAGAGGAGGATTGTGGAAGGTCAGGAAGTGGAGTAGTGTAGGCCAGTGATTAGGGCAGGAGGGGCAGTTAATCAGGCTTGTGTTTTTGTTTTTGTTTTTGTTTTTTTTTAACCAGGGGTATCTGTGCAGAAAACTCTCCCTTTGCTAGGTGAGTGTGGTACAAAGGCTGGGACGTGAGGGCAAAGGCCCAGCAAAGAACCCACATGGCCCGGGAGCTGGAGGTGGTCTTGCCAAGTAGGAAGCCGGGCAGGAGAACTCCAAGGATTGTCTTATTACCAGGAAAGGGGGAGGGTGCAATGTGGGTGTCCTTTGTCCCAAAGCAGGCCCAAACAGTATTTATCGGCTTTTCCCCCTTTATTAACACAGGTCCCTTTGTTAAACATAAAAATCATGTCTCCTTTAACATCCTGTAGCCATTCAAAATTAAAAAAAAAAAAAAAAAAACAACAACTTTGGAACACCAAACAAATTAAAACAAAGGGGAAAGGTGCTGTTTTATTCAAATTATGCTCCTCCGAACTCTGATGCTATGCCCCCCGCCTTGGTAATCAATGCCCTGACAGGTTTGGACTGAGGTTGGCAAGTTTTCAGAATTAGTAGAGAGAAGGACAGAAACAGCTGTGATAGCATCAATTCTCTGATGAATCTATTCCTGAGGGATGTGAGGTGGCTGAGGCTTTGGAAAGGGCATTCATGGATGACTCTCAGTGGCACGAAGAGACTTGTCCTTCCAGGGCCTGGATGGCTGAGTTTCTCTCCTCTCTGACTCATTTCTTCTGCTCTCCCCATGGAAGCCCATTCCCTAACGCTGCTGGCAGTCTTCAGCAACTCCCCACCCCCGACCCCGCACTACACACACGTTTTGTTCCCCTTTCCCTTTATCTGAATTCTTAAAGTCTGTGGTTGATCTTGGCAAGGTGTTCTGTCAAAGCCGAGAAACGTAATTTATACTAAGGTGTAGGAGACTAATAGGCTTAACCGTTCACAGGAGCATTTTAGTTTTTAAGCGGAGTTTGTAAACTCAGACCCATCTCAGGCAGGTGGAATGTGCACGGGAGATCTTTCTGAAGCGGATCTCTTTGCGATTCCACGTGCCAGGTGCCTACCGGGCCACTCCTACCCTCCTCCTTCAGGAACAATTCAAACAGAGCTCAGCTGCGGGCCCTTCGGCGGAAGGCTTGGACTGCCAGGGTGGGCGGGGACACTTAGGCCCGGCGCGCCCGGCGGGGCAGCCAGCCCCAAACCTCAGCCCCGGCCTCTCCTCTCCGCGCCCAGAAGGAAGCCGCGGCCAAAGAGGCGGCGGCAGGGGTGCTGCGAGCGCGCCTCACCTGCGGGAGGGCACGTCCCGGGCTTTCATCCTCCGAGACCCGGCCTGCCCAGGGCGGAGGCGGGGGAATCGGTTCGCCCATCCTTCCTGCCCGCCGCCCACCCCGGCGCCTCCACGCAGCAGCCGCAGGCAGCTCGCCTCCGGCCGCTGGGGCGCGGGGCCACCGGGGCCCCTGCGACTCTCGCCCCCGCGCTCCTCCGCCTCCTACCCCACGCCGGCCGCGGGGCTGGATCGGGGC